AGGCCGCTAGGGGTCGGGCAGGCCCTCCTATGGGCCGCTAGGGGTCGGGCAGGCCCTGCTATAGGCCGCTAGGGGTCGGGCAGGCCCTGCTATAGGCCGCTAGGGGTCGGGCAGGCCCTGCTATATACACAAGAAGAACGTGTCCCATTTACACTACATCACCCCCATCTAGCAGCTACATGCCTAACAGGCTCCAGCATGGAAGTCAGGAGGATCCCACAGGATCGTGGCCCCTGCACCCCCAATAGCCCCCCCAGCCCTCAGGGCTTCAGCTGTAAGGAGAAAACAATCATACAGCATCCAGGCTGTACCACTGCAAACGGCAGCGGGTGGGTGCTGGAATAACGGTGAATGCAAGCCGAACTGGGGGACAGACTGCGAGGGTCACAGATGTGGTGACATTCAAGACACCCCCCCCCCATGGTCACGCACACGCCCCCTTGCACACGGTGGCATCCTGGACACGCCCCCCTGCACACGGTGGCATCCTGGACACGCCCCCTGCATCATCCCAGAGGCTTTCCCCGTCAGGGTTCCCTGACGTGCCGAGCCAGGACCCCACCTCGCGCTGGGCTGACAGCGAAGACCGTTGCCATGGCACCACGCCGGCTTTGCAGGCACCGCGCTGCTGCCCCGTGTGGCTTAATGAGGGGGGGGGGCAGGAGGATCCCCGTGTGGCTTAATGAGGGGGGGGCAGGAGGATCCCCGTGTGGTCACGGCTCAAACACGCGGCCCATGTGCCGACACCAGCAGCGCCCCCTTCAGGAAAGCCAGCAGCAGTGTCCCTCTCTTCTCTGTGACACTGCACCTTGTGCTCGACTCCTAAAATCAAATAACGCCCCCCCCAGCAACTCTCATCCGCAGGTCAGTCTCCTGCGGGCCCCATCAGTGCCCCTACCCCGTCCATCTGGCTGCCCCTTCAGTCTGCATCCCCCCCTGCCTGGTCTGTGAGTGATTTCAGCGAGTCAGAAACATGCATCACAGGTCTGTGAGTGATTTCAGCGAGTCAGGAGCAAATGCATTGCAAGTCAGCGAGGGGTTTATTCACTTTTAATAATAATAATAATAATACTTACACGTGTGCACGCATACACACGCGTAACCACACACACACACACACGCATGCATGCACTGATTTTGCTACATGCAACAGCACTCCTTGGATCTGCATGGATCTGGGTTTATCCTCGAAACGTGTGATAAAAACGGTGCATGACTGAGGCTGGCATCCAGCAGGGTGACACGGTGGGGCGCTCACCTATTGGCCAAGCGTGGGGGTGCGGCTTCTCGGGCCGCTCACAGCGAGCTCGCCGGGCCGCTTGCAGGGGTAATGTGCCGTATGATGTTATTACACGCGGCTGCCAGCTAGCCCCCCTGCCCCCGCCTCAGCGGCACAGACGGTCCTCTTACGGGGAAGATGAACCCACTATGGCAGGTGGAGCATGAGCGGCGGGGGCGTGTGTGTCTGATACGGCGACGGAGGGGGGGGGAGGAGAGCATGCGACCAACCGGGGACGTGTAACTGCGGATTTGGCAGCTGGAACAGCACAGTGACCCTAGTGGCCCAAGGAGCCAGATTCATGCAGCCAAATGCTGCTAGAAACTCCTCTCACTGTTTTTATGGGGGGGGNAGGAGAGCATGCGACCAACCGGGGACGTGTAACTGCGGATTTGGCAGCTGGAACAGCACAGTGACCCTAATGGCCCAAGGAGCCAGATTCATTGGGGGGGGTTGGGGGGGGGGGCGCTCCCAGCAAATGGAGGTGCAGTACTGTGTCTGCAGATAACACAGACCTCACAGTGGAGGAGGTGTCAGTCGGCCACTCCGCTCCACGTCTCTCTCGCTCCGCCTATCTCCTTGCCCTCCATGACATTCACCCCCCTCCTTATCATCCCTCCATCCTGACAGGTCATCCTCTCCAGGTTTGCGTGAAATGTGTCATGTAAATTTTATCAGTGATGCAAAACAAACACACGTAGTCGGGGGGAATCTCAGGGTACCGCCAGGCTCTCTCTCTCATTGGCTCTTCCCCTCTTACCCCCCCCCCCCCCCCCCCCCCCCCCTCCCCCCCCCACCCCCCCCATCTGTCTGCCCGTTGCTAAGCGACAGCTGTGGCCCTCGGTGCACTAGTGGGCAGCGCCACTCAATGTGGATCCCAGCACCTCCTGAGGCCCGGCCCCCCCGACCCCCCCGCCCCACTCCTGACCCCGGCCTCGCGCCAGGCCTGCAACAGCGTCAATCGATCCACCTGACACGCAGAAATGATACCACAACCTTAATGGAGACTAGGCCGTTATTTAATATACATCACCACCAATTAATTTCATGCATAAATGATTATAAAACCTACACCTAAGTTTCACTATATACACAGAAACAAAATGATTTACTGTTGAATTCTGCACATATGCAGAAGCAAGCATGTGTGATCAGGCCTAAGGCTGACACGCGGCGGCGCCTTTCCGGGACAGGGGGGTGTGGCATCCTGGGGGTGTGGCAGCAGACAGCTGTTCCTGTGGCAGGCCGTGCTAATCGCGGTATCCCACAATCCCCAGCACTCCAGCCACAGATGCCACAATCCCGCCGGATTAGCCACGCATGGCTTTGACGTCACGCGGGCATATGGGCAGAAAGGAAGATGCACACCGCGATCCCGCCGCCGCCGCCAAGCTGCTGGTGC